GGGTTTTCGGGTTCGCTGATTATTATACAATATTCTTGGAACTGTAGATGAGGTTGAACTATAGAGTTTGGCAACAGTTCAGATGTCAACTCTTTTATAAATCTAAATAAATTCATGATCTTCAAAATTTTTTGTTGCTTTTACACTGTTTTCTATTTTTAATTTATGCTATAAGGATTAAATATTGACAAAGTTATTGGTGCGGTGAGTATTTGTAACTAAATGCGCCAATATATTCTTCGATACCGATTATTATTGTTAATTTTTAGTGTTAAAACTGTTCCCTTTGTATGCACTTATAAGATCTATCTTGATGCCAAATTTAAGGTTTCTAAATAACCTAGGCAGTTAGGAAGTTATAAAAATGGCACGTTCGACACCTTAAAAACTTTAATATTATTAGTCATAAAATTTAAGTTTAATGGTATTCTTCGTATATTCTTATTGAACATGTAAAATAACGTTTGTGTATCTTTAATAGTTTTCAAGTTATATGAGGTCCGAAAGTAGCTCGAAAAAATATACACACTGTCGGTGCGTCGCACTTTAGATAACGTATATTGAATATGATCTTTTACTTAGTCGTCAGGATGAGGCGTCGTTATATGTTTTCTTATTACTTAGTTGTAGCTTTAAAGAAAAAAATACCAGAAAGTAAATTCATAACAATGAATAATATATTTTTTTTTAATCAGATTAAATATCCAGTTTTAATCATGGGGGAAGCGACAAAAGTCTAATCGCGGGGTGCGAACCGTGAACTCAAAAGGACGTGGGTTTGAATCCAACATCTGACTACTGTCGTGGACCACACCTTACACAAGTACTTTGAGCTTACCAGGAGTGGTTAAAGGGAATATTATTAAGTTTAATAGCATTGCTATTATTTAAAAAAAGTCATGGGAGACCTATTTTGTATAAACAAAAATATTTGGCTATGATGGCTCATGTAATAGGAAATATATTGTTGACGGAAAAACTTACCTAAAGTTGAAATAACCCAATCATTTACCTGAAGTTCATATCGTAATAAACCTTATTGGCATATAGGAACATCATAATTTTGTCCTGAATAGCGTCAACTTCGGCAATTTCATAAATTTCATCTTAACGACTTGGGGTCTTATTTCGTTAACGATATAATAAGCTATCTCACAGTTCTCCTTTAAACTTAACGAATATGAAGTCCCGTGTAGTGGCGGGTAAGAATACCCACCACCCCTTATCTTCCCGTGGGCGTCGTAAGAGGCGACAGAGGGAAACTGAGGCAGAAGATGGCCAGCAGCATCTTTCTGATAACAACAAAACAACAATAAAAAAACTGCGGCTGCCAACCCGCTCGCCAAGCGTGGTGATATAGGGGGTATATGAGGAAAGTTACAAAAGGTTCGGTTGCCACCTAAGACGATTCGACCTAGCAACATATAACGCACGCACCCTAAGGACTGACGAGAAGATCCTGGAGCTGGAAGAAGAGATAGATAAGTTGCGCTGATAGAATAGAATAGAATAGAATGATTTTATTCAATATGGATTATTACATAATACTTATTGAAAGTCATTATTTTATTTACCACTGGTTCGGAAAATATCTCTGTCCTGGGAAGAATCAGCAAGAAACACAGCGGTACTTTTTTTAACCTAATTTCACTTAACAATAATTTTGTTTATACAATTTTAAATGAAATGCTCCATAAATGAACTACTAATTCTGTGGAGTCTAGTAACTGGCATTACTAGCTTATGTTTGTTCCTAGTGTTTAAGGTATGAACATCCTTATTCGTGTTAAAGCTATTTATGTTTTTATGTACATACATTACATGATGCCAAAGTTAATATGTTTATTTCTTTAAATTTTTCCCTGAAGGACTCTTTACAATTAAGATTATAAATCGCCCGTACGGCTCTCTTTTGCAAAATAAATATAGCTTCAATATCAGTCGCATTACCCCATAGCAAAATTCCAAAAGACATTACGCTATGAAAGTAACTAAAATACACTAACCTAGCTGTCTCAATATCTGTGAGACTTCTAATCTTTCTTACTGCATATGCTGCAGAACTAAGTCTGCTTGCTAACTTAGATATATGGAAGTTTTGAATTTTCGTTCCCATTGAAGTTTCGCGTCAATAGTAATACCAAGAAAAACAGTGGTATCCACAAGACTCAACTCCTGCCCATTTATGAGCACATTGGTTTTCGAATGTTTTACATTAGGCATTGTAAATTTAATACATTTTGTCTTATTGCCGTTTAAGATCAAATTGTTGGCGGTAAACCAATGTACTAGTTTCGATAGAGCATTATTTACATAGTCATATTTAATTGACTGCCGTTTCAGTTTGAAAATTAAAGAGGTATCGTCAGCAAATAATACTATATCGTGATTGTCCCCTACAAGATAAGGTAAGTCATTAATATAGATTAAGAACAGGAATGGGCCAAGAATCGAGCCCTGAGGAACGCCCATTGATACTACCGATCTGGAGGAACATTTACCATTGATGAAGACTTTTTGAGTTCTGTTACTTAAATATGAAGTAGTAAGTCTAAGCGCCAAACTTTTTACACCGTAATGTTGTAGTTTCCTGATTAATATCTCATGATGAACACAATCGAAAGCCTTAGAAAGGTCACAGAAAATACTTAAGGCATCTTGTGAATTCTCCCAGACATTAAAAATATATTTCATAAGCTCAACACCGGCGTCAGATGTCGAGCGACCCCTTGTAAAACCAAATTGATTTTTATGAAGTAATTTATATGTAATAAAAAAAATAACAAATGATCCAAATTTATTTTTCAAAAATTTTAGTGGGAGTTGGTAGTACAGAAATAGGTCTATAATTAATTTTATTTTATTCTTAGCCGTCTTAATTTTGTTACTAATATGTAATGATTTGGCTGTGGAGCAAACTCTTTTAAACATTTTAGAATAATTTTTTACATATTCTTTAAAAGCATCGGAAAGATTATACGATCTTTCATGGTAAAGGTCATATAACCTTCGTCTGCTTTTATGAATTCCTACTGTCGCCCACTCATTAAATGCCTTGCGACTGTTTCTGGAGAATGTTTTAGAAGTGAATGTTTTATTAAATTCATTGTTTATAAGGGTAAATAAATAGTCTGCATTGTTCTTATAAGAATGGGATGGAAGGTTTTTTACCATATTACTTCTAAATCTCTCCAGGCGTTTTGCATTAATAGGAACAAACTCAATTTTCTCAATTACCTGTTTTTTGTGCATATAAGGTAACGAAACCAGTTGTCCTCAGTGATCTGAACTAAGTTTTTGAATTATTGATTTTTTTTATTCTTTTTTTTTATTATTTAAAAAAAAACGTTACCCCCACACTAGGAATTTCTCCTGTGTCGTGGAGGCAGTTTACAAACATAAATTGCACAAGGACAAACATCCAGACCCGGAACAATTATTTGTAGGCCATACAAATACTTGTTCCGTGCGAGATTCGAACCCGCGGCCCCCAGCGCAACAACTGATTGCTAAGCCACTGCGCCACGGAGCCGTCATTGATTTGTTGATTATTACAACACCTGTAAAAATATTATTAATACAAGTTGCACTACACCCTGCTATACGTGTAGCTTCAAAGAATAAATTATTAAGATTATAGGGTTTGAACAAAGAACAAAATTTAATACTGATGGAAGAAGTTTCCAGGAGATTGATATTAAAGTCTCCACACACTACAAGAGATTTATTATGTTTATTAAGCTTAACTAAAACTTCTTTCATAATTTTTTCAAAAGTATCATAACTTGAACATGGGGGTCTGTAAACACTGACAACAATAAGGTGCTCAAGCTCAACATATGCCATTTCTACAGTACGCTCAACAGAGAGGCTCACAATGTCTTTACGTTCTTTACATGATAAGGACTTATTAGCTAATATTAAGGAGCCACCTCGTAATTTAATATCTCTATTGAACGAACTGACCACCTGGTGATTACTGAAATTAAATATGGAGTTGTAATCTTTCAATCAATGTTCAGTAATACATAAAATATGTATACTGTTACTATTTAAAAATAATTCAATTTCTAATTCTTTGCCTAACATACCTTGTATATTTTGATGCACCAGGTTGATACAGTTTTTATTATTGTTATTTTGTGAAATTGCATAATTATATATTGGTAAGTTGCATTCTAAGCTATTTAAATTATCTTTGCTAGAGATTACCTCTATTGTCTTATTATCTAATTTAAATTACTTGGAACTGGTTCCAAATCAAATGTAAAATTATTTAGTTGCTCAAAAGAAGCAGGTGTCAAGGTAGCCAAATCATTGGCTGAATTAAAATATAAATAATAAGATAGCGTATTTGCTACCAGTCTTAAACTATACTTTGATAGGTAATACCTATCTCTTGTCAAAAACTTCTTAGTTAAATTATTAATATCAATCAAATGAAATTTATCATTATTATTCTTACAATTAAATGTCAAATTTAAGTTATTGTTACATGTCAAGTTATGCATCATTAAATTTAAAATATGTCTTAGTTTATTTTTCTGTGGCCACCCCTCTATGTAAGGCAATGTAAACAAGATAACTTTAACCACATTTATGTTATTGAGATATTCAATATATTTTAATAATTGATTCTTGTTCATATTGCCTCTTCTCCCAACAAAAATTATTAATATACTATTAGGGTTAAATTTACTAGTTAAAATTTTATTCATAATATCACTGAATGATGCTCCAGGCAAGTAATGTTTCAAAATGATTAGTTATTTTAATAGATTGTTCGGAAAGTTATTTAGTTTTTTCCCAACAGAGAACTTTTTTCACAGGCAAATTCAAACTGGTTGGATATGCACTATTATATATTTTGACAGTTCATATATCAAGACATGCTTCTAAAAAGGTTCGATTGATTTCACGCGGTATTTGTTGGTTGGTACACTTTCAGCATATTAATATTTTTTTACTATCGAAAAGGTAAAAATGCTGTTCAAGCAATAATGTATTGTCAGAACGCCAGCGCCAAAACTGTTGAAGATGTCTTAAAGATGCACTGGGATCAGTCCGAAAGGCCAGTTAAAGCTGACGAAGACACATTAAAAGCATTAATTGATGTAAACCAGTGAATAACAACTCGTGAGATTGATAAAAGATTAAATTTATTGAATTCGACCGTTCATGATCATTTGAAATGCCTAGGTTTAACTTCAAAGTTCGACATATGGGTTCTTTATATTCTTACGGAAAGAAATTGTGCCGTCGCGATGACGTCCATGATTTGCTACTCAAACGTCAAGAAAATGATCCAATTTTGAAGCACATCATCACTGGGAACGAGAAATTGGTTGGCTACAACAATGTTAACCGCAAGAGATCATGGAATATACATAAATTGTGAACCGGCTCAAAGCACTTCGTAAGCCGATATTCATCGGCGTATAAGCGTAATTTTACGCTATCTGTTTGGAGAGATTTCAAAGGAATCGTTTGTTTTGACCTTCTCTCTGACAACACTATGATCAATTCTGAAGTATACTGTAATCAGCTGGACAAATTGAATGATCCACATAAACAGAAAGAGCCAGAATTGATCAATAGAATACGTTTAGTGTTCCACACGCGAAACCTCATACTAGTTTATTAACCCGCCAAAAGCTTTTACAGCGTGAATGGGATATACTGCCACACCCACCATATTTTTCAGATTTGGCATCTTCTGATTATTATTTACTTTGATCTCTACAAAACCTTTTAATCGGTAAGAACTTTACTACAAGTGAGAAGGTAAAAAACCACCTGTATCAGTATTTTTTTGCCAGTAAAGAACAAAAATTTTGAAGCTCAAAAGATGGCTAAAGATATTGCACCAAAGTAGACAATCTATAACTAAATAAAATATTTATTCACTATAAAAAAATCGTCGCTCATTTTCTTAAAAAAAAACGTAATAACTTTCTGAACAATTAAAATAATTTCAATATTTAAAAAGCAATGAATCATAGATTGCAATGAATTGCAAAATGGTAAGTGGCATTACACATAGACATTTTCCTTAAATATATGCAGGTTTCTTCACGATGTTTTCCTTTACCGCCGAGCTCGTGGTGAATCAGCACTTAAAAATGTAATTAACAATGTCATTTGTGCCGGCAGGGATCGGACCCGGGTTGGTCACGTACTATGAAATTTATAGCGAGCCCTTAGCACTTGATCTACTACGGCTCTTGAGTAGATGTATCTCTGAAGTATATATTATAGTCTCTTTAATAAAACTTTCCGACAAATCTGGGAACAGACATAATCAACAATAAACTTTACCTACGTAGTTCTGTTATTTATTCTGTGCTTTAGCGTCGAATATATTATAATTTTTTTATCTGTTACAAGTAAAAATATTAAACATTAATATGTTTAATATTTAAACATTTTTTATTTTATTATTCAAACATTAATGTCTTCATTTATTTCTCGTTCACATTATGGAAATACGTAATGTACGAAAGCAGCTCTTAGAGCTTAACCTAATCCAGTGCCTGAAGCTCGACAGAAACCCACTTAGTAAGAGATTTACAAAAATTGCTAACACTTTTTTATTTTTCTGTCATATAAGATAAAAACAAAAAAGGTCATTTTCGCAACGTTTGAACTATAATGTATATGAGCAAAATAAAACGAATGAAATTAAACTAATGAACAATATTCCGCCATAATTTATGACAACACTCACAAAAATGTTGATAAAATAAGATACCAAATTCTCTTATGTATATAACACTCACGAAAATGTTGATAAAATAAGATACCAAATTCTCTTAAGTATATCTCATCACTTATTAGGATAACAATCACAATATATCCTTATCATGACACTCTTAAACAAATTTCGGTTTATAGTACTACTGCCGAGCAAATCATTGTAAAGAAATGAAAGTAACAGTCTATGTACTTCCCACTGCTGGTCACAAGACTCCTCTCATTTCTGACATATTTATGGAGCAATTAGTCGGCCGTGTAACTTCCAGTACACATTGTTGGAATTCACATGTGCCTGAAATATTTTACTCCCCGGACAGATTTCCTCATAATGTTTTTCTTCGCGAGCAAGCACACGGTAAATCGGCACTTAAATTGCAATTATCACTTTCATTGGGACCGGCGGGGATCGAATCCTAGTTGGTCGCGTACGTTAAAATTTCCAGCGAGCGCTTAAAGGCCTTTACCACTTATTGCAAGTTGTACTATAATATTTTTAAAAGGAGTTTCGGAAGGTTTTTGTTATCAGATCAATATATTGTTTACATAATTCTAGTTCATCGCACGAATTATCCATTTAATATATAATACAGATTGAATCCCTTGAACAAGAATATAATATTATTGCAAATAGAAACATTAATGTCTCATTCGACTTTCATGACATTAATACACATATTAGGGAAACAACTTATTATTCCGACCCAATTTGATAATAGTAAAAACATTCTGTCTAGGCACGGGATATAGAAAAATCGAACGCTGAAGTAACTACTTTCTAAAATAACTATTTTCAAGACCTATCGCAGTAAATTATTATATAAAGATTGTTACAAGTTATAAATAAGATGTTTCAAAATGTATAGAATTTTCTTTCTACACTACATTAAAAAATAGGCAATCATACATAGAACAAATTTTCACTACCCATCTTTTCAATATAGCTTTGTACTAAAATTACTAAAAGTACTTACCTTTTTTTCAGTCAATGACGATTGATATTAAGTTAATAATCTATGTCTATGTATATGCCACTTACCATTTTGCAATTCATTGCAATCTATGATTCGTCGCTTTTTAAATATTGGAAGTATTTTAATTGTTCAGAAAGTTATTACGTTTTTTTTTTAAGAAAATGAGCGACCTTTTTTTATAGTGAATAAATATTTTATTTAGTTATAGATTGTCTACTTTGGTGCAATATCTTTAGCTTCAAAATTTTTGTTCTTTACTGGCGAAAAAACTGATACAGGTGGTTTTTAAACTTCTCACTTGTAGTAAAGGTCTTACCGATTAAAAATTTTTGTGGAGATCAAAGTAAATAATAATCAGAAGATGCCAAATCTGAGAAATATGGTGGGTGTGGCAGTATATTCCATTCAAGCTGTAAAAGCTTTTGGTGGGTTAATAAACTAGTGCGAGGTTTCGCGTGTGGAACACTAAACGTTTTCTATTGATCAATTCTGTCTCTTTCTGTTTATGTGAATCATTCAATTTGTCCAGCTGATTACAGTATACTTCAGAATTGATCGTTGTGTTGTCAGAGAGAAGGTCAAAACAAACGATTCCTTTGAAATCTCTCCAAACAGGTAGCGTAATTATACGCTATCTGTTTGGAGGATGAATATCGGCTTACGAAGTGCTTTGAGCCGGTTCATAATTTATGTATATTCCATGATCTCTTGCGGTTAACATTGTTGTAGACAACCAATTTCTCATTCCCAGTGATGATGTGCTTCAAAATTGGATCATTTTCATGACGTTTGAGTAGCAAATCATGGACGTCATCGCGACGGCACAATTTCTTTCCGTAAGAATAGAAAGAACCCATATGTCGAACTTTGAGGTTAAACCTAGGTATTTCAAATGATCATGAACGGTCGAATTTAATAAATTTAATCTTTTATCAATCTCACTTTGTTGTTATTCACTGGTTTACATCAATTAATGCTTTTAATGTGTCTTCGTCAGTTTTAACTGGCCTTTCAGACTGATCCTAGTGCATCTTTAAGACATCTTCAACAGTTTTGGCGCTGGCGTTCTGACAATACATTATTACTTGAACAGCATTTTTACCTTTTCGATAGTAAAAAAATATTAATATGCTGAAAGTGTACCAACCAACAAATACCGCGTGAAATCAATCGAACCTTTTTAGAAGCATGTCTTGATATATGAGCTGTCAAAATATATAATAGTGCATATACAGTGCATTACTTTGGTATAATGCAATGCTATAAGATTTTAGCTTATTGTCTACGAGTCAAAACTTTTTAACGTCAACAATAAGAAATTCAAATTTGGACCTTAACTTTTTATCGCCGTTCCAACAAGGGAAGGTTCTACGTGTAAGTTTTTATATTTATGTTTACCGATTTTCCGAAAACCTGCTGAACCGATTTTAATGATTATTTTACTTTCTACTTTATTAAATGTGTTGTACTTTAGGGGCTAGTCCTAAATAAATATTACGAAAAAATTTCCTTCTAAAGGATGGAAGATTATAGAAAGATTTGAATGCAACTTTTTAAACGACATTCTAGTTTTTACGTTGAACTTGTGATAATCTTTAAACCACTTAAAAGGATAAAAAATTAAACCTAACTACAAAACCTTTAAGGAATAAAATGATTTGCACATGATAGCTTCTACAATGCGAAGATAATAATATAGTGTACCAAAATTTATGTCCTGCCTCTTTACTTTGTGTCGGTCTAGTAAACAAATCTTAATATTGACAAAATTAAAACTTTTAATTTTGCACCAGTTTAAAAAATAGGTAAACTACAATGAAAACTTTCAAATTACAAGAATTATGCAGTCAGCCGAAACTTTGAATAAATTTATGACATATCATGTTCGTCACCTAAAATTCCAAGGCAAGGGAACTTTTAGTGACAAACAGCAATATAACTTATTATTGTGACATTTTATTTAAAATTTTAATGATCGTAATAGAAAAAAGGCCGTGGTAAGTTTATGGCTTGTGTCGGCATCCTTCGGAATGCCTCTACAGCCCTCGGAATGCTTCGGCAGCTTTCGATTTGTTGAGGTAACATTCGGTTTGCCAAGGCAGGTACGACTGCATTAAATCTTTGGTTTCAAAGATTATTTATCCAAAATCTTCCTTGTTTTTAAATATACCTCTTCTTCTTTAAACTTTGGGCACTTGGTCCTAATGTTCCATTTTAAATACACACATTATACTACACTTAGAGATCAGGCAGATTGGCTTTACGTGCTTTCCGAGGCACTGGTGTGAAAAGTTGGTGTCGTTTCATAAGTGGTAGAGCCATGATGCAGTTATATTATGGTTGTAGCATTTTTTTTTATAGGATAGGGTGACAAACGAGCACACAGTCGACCTGATGGTAAGTGGTTTCTGCGGCCCATAGACATCTACATCTATTCTCGTTTGCGAATCAAAATGCAGATGCGTTGTCACACGTGAGGGCTAAGGTGGAATGCCTCTTTTCCAGAAAAAAGGGTATCCGGTTCTCTACACTCTCCATACGGAACACAGCAGTATTAAGCTGCTATTTTACGCTGGTATTCTGTGAGAGCGTGGTCCTTCCCCGGTCGAGCCGACCTATTCTTGCTATAACTCTGCTACTAATATAGCTGCAGCATGGCTCTACCACGTACAAACAAATGGGTCGGCTCGGTCGAGCATGGACCACGTTCTCATAGAACACCAGTGTAAGTTAAGTGTAGAGAACCGGAGACCCTTTATACTGAAAACGAGGCGCTCCATCTTAGAACTCAAGGGTGACAACGCATCTGCATTTTGATTCTTAATTGAAGATAAATGTAGATGTCTATCTGTGGAAGGGGATACTGTGACCCACAGCATCCACTCACCCTTACGACTCCCTGTCTCCGAAGGCTGAT